CATCATAGTGGGTAGCTATAGTCCCAGCTACTTGGGAAACTGAAGTAGGAGGATCGCATGAGCCCAAGAGTTTGAGGTTGCTGTGAGCTACAGTGAAGCCAGGGTGACAGAGTGAGACTCTTGTCTCAAAAGAAACAAACAAAAAAAGTGGTATGATATCTCTGCATAAAAATCATGGACATCTTTCATGGTACTTAATCTTAGAAAAAACTTCTTGTTTTTGATCTATATAGTAAATGTATTTTTTAAATATTTCCCATGTAAAACTTACAGTATGTTTAGAAATGTGCACAAAACTTCAAAATATGGCTCAGAGAAGTATCAAACGCAAACACCTATGTAACCCAGTGGTTAGGAATTCGCATAACAATAGACGTATCCGATCTCTACAGCTACACACACACACTCACTCAGGCACAATTTCACAAATAGGAAGATTAAAAGTTCAATAGATTCAACGCAATTTCAATCAAAATCGGACCAGATGGTTTTGTGTGTGTGTGGAATTTGGCAGTATGAGTCTAACATTTCTAAGCAAATACAAAGGGCCAGAAATAATAAAGACACTTCTGAAAAAGGAGGTTGAGGAATCTACTTTCTCCAAAATCAAGACTTGTTTTAAAGCTATAGAATGGCGGCATGGTGGCACGGGCACAAAGAGAAACCAAAGACCAATGGAACAGAATAGAGAAGAGAAAAAGGTCCTGCACTCGTGGACACCTGCTTCACGGCAAAGCAAGCACTGCCGGCCAGTGAGGAAAAGACAATCTTCTCAATAAATGTTCTGAAAAAATAGGGCATCCACATGCAAAAAATAAAATTATAGCCCTACATTACACTATTCACAGAAAATAAAGTGCAGGGAGATCATGGACCTTAATGTGAAAAGCAAAATGATGAAGCTTTTTAAAGAGTCAGTTTTATTTTATTTATTTATTTTCTTTTTCTTTTTCTTTTTTTTTTTTTGAGACAGAGTCTCACTATGTCGCCTGGGTAGAGTACTATGGCATCACCGCTCACAGCAACCTCCAACTCTTGGGCTTAAGTGGTTCTCTTGCCTCAGCCTCCCAAGTAGCTGGGACTACAGGTGCTTGCCACAATGCCCAGCTATTTTTTTGGTTGCAGTTGTCACTGTTGTTTAGCAGGCCCGGGCTGGATTCGAACCCGCCAGCCTGGGTGTATGTGGCCAGCGCTGTAACCACTGTGCTACAGGTGCCAAGCCGAGAGTCATTTTTTTTTTAATATCTAAACTTTCAAAGATCCATGCCTGCTACTAGTGCATATGACCTGGGCCACCTGCAACTCCCCATGTGAGTCTGAAAACAGCCACACTATCAATGAGATGAGTCCACCAGTCACACAGCTGCATATCATGGTAGCGGCACATTCCAGTAAAAGTTTCTAAATGTCTATTCTCACTTTCTACACATTCATCACAGACCAGCAGAAAACATCACACACATCCTCAGACCATAGTTGGAGCAGCACAGTAACCTTTCTTGGACTATTGAACATAAAACAGAAAAAGATCTTTGTGACTTCATGGTAGAACATGGTTTCTTAGACTTGGTTCCAAAAGCGCTCGTCATGAGGGGAACCACGGGTCAGTGTTAGTACATTAAAATTAGACACCACTTCTCAAGAGATACCATTAAAGGAGCAAAGAACAATAAAAACAACAAAGCTATAGAAACAAGCGAATACACAGAATAAAAGACTCTCTCCTTTCTCTGATTCTAGACTCACATGAAATCCAGATTGATAAATTGGACCGTATTTTTTAAAATAGTTTACATGTCTCCCCCAAACAATAAGCAAAGTCAAAAGATAAATGACAAATAGGGGAAAGACCCTTGGAACGTATATCCTAGACGATAAACTAAATATGCTTATTATGTAAGGAGCTCTTCCAAGGTGAGGATGAGAAAGACCCAGATAGAAAAAATAGCAAAAGATGGAAGTAGGCAATTCAGTAGGGGAAATAAAAATGGCCCTTCTATATAGAAAAAGAAATACATGTCTAAATCACACTGAGACCATGTCTCATCATTCAAATCGGCAAAAATCCAGAAGTCCTAAGCCATAGGATGTTGATGGGGCTGTGAAGAAACCGGCACACTCTTAGCATTGCTGATGGGAACTGAAGGTGCTAAAGCAATAATGGGAGGACATTTGACGATGCTTAGAGAAACTACCTATGCCTTTACCTGTGACCCAAGAGTCCCCAAGCTGCTAGAGAATATATGACATGACTGTGTACAAGGTTTTCATTGGAGCATGGCTTGTAATAGAAAAGGTTGGCAAACAACCAAATGTGGATAAACAGGAGGATGGGTGAAACGAATTATGACACATCCTCTGCAAAAAAAAAAAAAAA